AAAAAAAAAAAAAAAAAAAAAAAACAACAACAAGAAAAAATGCTGAGGCCCTAGAAAGTGGGTTTAGCAAGCAAGTCCAATGCAAAAGCAGTGGTTCAAAGACCAGTTCAGCTTTAGTCATTTATTCTGCACAACAGAAAGCAAATTAAATATTCTCTGAATTCTAAATGATATTTACCAGCATACTGGTAAATATAATGCCTTGGGAATATATGCCCTTTCACTACACATTGTTTTTTTACTTTGTCCACAGACTGCTGGGGATAATACTGAATAAATAGACATTGTATTAAAAACACACACAAAAAACTGTTACAAATTGATATAAATCAATTACCTCTCCCTCCCATCTGTATTTTGGCTTACATACCCTAAAATCAAAAACCAACAGTGGTGTAGGCCACCAAAAACCTGTGGATAAAGATGGTAAAGTAAGTACTGAGGTCCAGGATTGGACAGGAAATAGCTATATACACCAAAATAGAAAGCAAAATAATGAAGACAAATGACAATGCATGGGTAAGTCTGGACACATTTTAACATATTCAAGCCTGAGAAAAGAATTTTCCTAAAATGTTGATGTTTAAGAGGACATTTCTAGGCTAAACTGCACACAAAAGAGGAGGGAATTTCCCTAATGAAGTTTTCAGAGCCAAAGAAAATAGAATTATCCTGGAAAAACAAAAGCAAAGATTAATGTTTGTCTCTCTCCACCAACCCTCTTCTTCAGATTTGCTTGTGTAGATTTCCTGCTAAAGGCCATTTTAAAACTCTACACTCTGTTATCTCAACACACCCAAATCTGGACTTAACCCTTTGTGTCCCAGTGGGTCGATGAATGGGACAATAATTTTCAGTCTGTCTGGGAAATTGCATGCTGAAGGCAAAGTTAACAAAATGCTAGGAAATATAGTGAAAGGTTAATGTTGCATTAATTAATTGATTAATTAATTAATTGTGTGCATTTCTAGTTCCTTTGCCAAAGACTGTTAGATTGTAAAAACCTGTAAAAGAATTTGGTAAAACTAAATAGGTGATGGTTGTATTGAATGGAGCCTTTAATGTGAAGACACATAAAAATATATTTATTTAGTTGGAAGAGGAAGTGGCAGTGAGACCCTTTCATCTATCAAGGGATCACTTTTTAGAGTTCATTAGAAACAATCGTTCACAATTCAAATACACATCAGACAGTGCACCTGTCTTCAGATGTCCAGTAAGTATAACAGCAAATAACAGAATTCAGAGCCAGAAGATACTGGGGCTGTCCAAGCACAATTAAGACAATTATCTATATTGTGCTAGATAACAAGGACTGTTTAAAATGGTAGCTTTAAGAAGAGCTTATTTTTGAAAACTTCACTTGGAAGTAAAACCCTTATCAAAGAATGTGCTATATTAGGAAAGAAGAGTATGTAATGAAAACGACAAGATGTAATTTTTATGTAACGGAAGAACAATAAAAATCAGGTTCAATTACACAAGAAGAAAACATAGAAATTACACACCACAAGCAGAAGTGCTAGAACAGGGTGAAGAAAAATTATAACAACATTACTATTTGAGGCGGTATGTCTATTTTAATGCACTTTTAACTATGAAGGAACCTTAAACAAAGAAATACATATGCAAGTGAAAGCTAACACATGTATCAGACATTTCTGTTTTCTATTCTCAAGGCTATCTTTTTGACCCTGGGACAAAATTAGTAGCCAAATCTTTATTCTACTTTAATTTGTGTTCGTGTCTTCTTCTTTATGCCTCAAGTCATTGTACAGAGTTCTATGATAACAATACGGTTCTGCTCAATGTGTTCTTCAGTACCCTGTATAGAATTCAAAATCCACACATACTAAGAGTATTAACATATGGTAACATACCAAGAAACCAGAAGTCAAGATGAGAGGTTCAGTGAGCAGAGGACAGTTGGAAGTGCTTTTGTGCAAGGTGGACACTATTTCATATTTCATGGCCCACTGTCTATTCTGAGTTTAGTGTGACAAAAACACACGGGGCTGACATTGATGGGTGACATGTTAAAAGTATGTGATGTGGCTCGCAGAACTGATGTCTACATCTACATCACCTTTTCAGGTAGAAAATTTACTTGTTACCATGTGAATAATACTTAAGTTAATAATGTTTAAATATAAAATTTTAAAAACTACACAAAGATGCTATGAATGTCTTGTTTGTACACTTCAGTAAAAAGCTAAACTAAATCAATCAGGAGGAGGTTTACAATGAGATTGGTTTCTTTATGGATTTTTAAACATATATTTTCTAAGAATTCTTATATATTTGGTGCATTCATCTTTCATTTACTTACAACTCTTGTATCTCAAGTCAAGGAAGGTAAACCAAGTCTTAAAAACTTTGTGGGCCATTCATTCACTTGAATTTTAGTTGAAACACAGGGATGGAAATAGGCACCCTGCCCAGGAACAAGGAAAGTGGAGAATCACATAGGATGAGTTTATGCTGCCTTTTGAGAGAATATGGTGCTGGTGGTTTTAGGATACTTGAAGAGAGGCTGGAAAAGAGGAAGTCTTAAGAGACGCTGTACCTAGTCATTTGGGACTAGATATCTGTGGGATTTAAGTTAAATATCTGCAAAAACTAAGAAGTCTACGGGCTCCTTCATCTATACCATCAAATTCTGTAAATAGGTAATTCATTTTGTTTTAAAGGTACTGGTTTTGCACAATTGAGGTAAGTTCATGCTACATATATTCAGGGGATTAGAAAATTCATCAGCTGGTTTCAGAGGTGGCTGCCTTAAATTAGCAGAAGTCCCCATGAATTTTAGAGGGAGACAGGTGGAAGAGGTGTGCGGGTGAGACAATGTGGCGGGGAGAAGTGGTCAGGAATGGCAGAGAGGCTCCTTCCCAGTGTGCAGGGGCCCTCTGTCAACAGTGGGCTAGGACACAATGGTGTGTTATCAGTTTGTATAGGAAATGCAAATTTCTGCTTGTTTCAACAATGGCCTTCTATGAACACTTGTAGACACTTTACCGGATCCTGACACACCTCATTTAAAAACCCAACCTACTGAACCTGGCATGGACAGCGCATGAGGGAGGGGAGCAGGCACGGAAAGGTAAAATGATGCCAAAATGCAAAGTGCAGAGAGGAACTGGCTTCTGGTCCACTGACCTAGGAAACAGACCACACGATTATTAAAAAGTGCTGGAAGAAAATGGAGCTGATTAATGATCTCTTAATGCTGGCAAAGAGGTGCTGAAAACTGGGATAAGAAAACGGCCACGTTTGTTCATGTTTTCACTTTTCCTTTAGAAACCACCTCCGCGTAAGAGGTGTGCATGAAGTCATACAGCTGCTTGGCGTTTGCAGCATTGCCCAGCACACCTGCGAGCTCGTTCTGGGGCAGGCTCGCCAACTCCGCGATGCTCTTCACGTGGCTCATCAGGGAGCGGCAGTTCTTGGCATTTACCCCGGGCATTTTTAACAAGAAGTCTTGGGGGCCAGGATTATACTTTTCTGACTCGGGGAGTGTTTCAGAATCCGCTGTGACGGCCATGGCCGTCGTGGCGTCGGGCTGCGGCTTATTTTGCTTCAGCTCCTCGAACAGCTCCGCAGTCGCGTGGGGGGAGGCACACCAGAGAATCCGCAGTCTGGGGAAGTGCAGCGTGAGAAGGGTGAGTTTGGAACTGAGGTCGCTGCTGGAGATCTCCTGGTGTAAGGCACCCCGGGAAGTGAGAGAGAAGGGCTTACTGGGGTCAAACTCGATCAGCAGCACTGGTCGCTTATAGTAGCGGGACATGGAGATGCACTGGCTGTACAGGCGGCCGTTATTTAAAGAGCCAATCAAATCGCTGATACTCTTGCGCTCCACGCACATTTCTGGAGTCAGAATGTAATCTCCAACCTCTAAGGTGACGGGGTCAATGTCAATGCCCCGACGATGGATCAGGGACGGGAGTTCACTTCGGAACTCACGCATATCCACAACTATACTTTGCTGCATACTGTTCTGCTCCTGGCCACCTAGTAAGAAGAAGTAGCATTTTAAGTAATGTCAATGAGGCAGTTAAAGAAGCAAGAACAGTTAAAGTTTAAAAAGCTGTATTTCTGTGTGAACCTCTGATGCACGGTCACATATACATGTTACTATTCCATATCTTTCTATATTTTCACAAAGGCCTATTCACAGAGTTAATAGAGGCAATTTCCCTTAAAGTAAATAGAGTTAATGGTAAAGTTAGACTGTTGGTGGTGCCTTACATAGGACAATTCACAAATTCCAGCATTTTCTATCACCTTCCTTCTGTGCTCCCTCACTGCTGCACTGACCACAATTTACTAGCCATTGTTTTCCCACTTCCCAGGACAGAGTCTGGCACGTAGAAGATGCTGAAAAATGCTTGGGTTGTGGTAAGTTTTCAAAGCAGCAACTGGAGACTAATATGGAGGGCATGGAGGACTGAACTCAAAGGACAGACTTCTATCCATAGCCTTCTGTGGGGTCCCTACGTGCTCGTCTGCCTTCCTTCATATTGCCTGATGCTCTGTGGTTCTGCATGAAATGTTACCAATTTACCTGAGTTAATAAGAATTTTCCTTCCAAAGTGTTTTCCAGAGAATATTTAAGAACCACATCCATCAGAAGCCCCTGAGACACTGACCACATTTCAGACCCACTCAATCAGAATTTCTGTGGACTGAAACCTGTGAATCTGTAGTTTCAGCCAGCACCTGAGGTATACTTGAATACTGAATCCTGACTCCTAAAGTGTACTAAGTGCTGACACCCACTGCTCTCGCTGAGCTTGACTCCACCAAAGAGGAGATCGACTCACTTATATTGCTCTTCTCGTGCCACTCAGCTGGTATCAGCTGCTGCCATGAGGAAGTGAGATCCAGGGAGTGGGGAAACAGTTATTCCTGTATCACAGCTGGAACTCGGCAGGTCGTGGTGGTATGCCGAGGTTCGGAAATTGCACAGCGATGGGAGCACCACACGTGGGATACGCATAAGTGCCAAGAAGCAGCAAACGAGTCCAAAAGGACAGGTGAGAATGTACCCCTAAATGACTCCCATCCATGAGTTAAGGATGAGATAAGAACCTAATCACCATTTATAAAAGTTTCTTTTGCAAAAGCACATTCTGAGTCTCAACTGACCACATTTAAAACCAACCCTAGAACTTAACTGTTTTCTAAGTTGGGGTGCCTGGAACCTAAACCCTCTTCCTTTACAGATGAGAAGCCTTAGACCCAGGAAGGACACATGGGTAGTAAATGGCAGACCTGAGACTAAGGTTTGGGAGCAGACATCCATTTCAAAGAGGTTGCTGAGGAAAAACAGGCATCTATAGAAAACTCTGGAACCACCTTTAGTGGCAATGGGCATGCTTGGAAGGGTAGGACTCACCTGCCTTCCGAGTATCAGTGGAAACACTTGCAGACAAGGAGCCCCTCACTAAGTCTAGGTTTGTTTCATCTCTGCCTTCTCTTCCTTCAGGGACAACCATGCTGGCTTTTTCTCTGGGGGAGAAAAACATTTTAGACATTTGCAAAGCTAATTTTAAAATTCAGATTTTAATCTTCTGTAAATTATTATATAGGAAATGATCTATATGACCATAATGTTAAAAAAGAAGTACATCAGAAGTACATATACACAGACAAGTAACGGGTAAAGGAGGCAGGAAGATTTCTTGTTTGGTACTACTTCTGACCTTCCAGAATTAAGGAAGCTGCTTATTTTCTGTTCTATGTATCCTTCAAATCCTCTGAGACATGAAATTAGCATGTAAAATATGCCACAGAGAGACTATTGAGAATTTTTATAAACATGGTATGTGTTACTGAGCATCAAAAATAAATAGTTTATATTCCAATATTTTCAGTTATCATAAATAGAGATGGGTTAAAAATCAATGCTTAAGAAAATTAAAACACCTATTACTTTGATTTAAAAAACTCCAGGTGGGAGGCCCCACTAAACACTCTCAATTTTAAAAGAAAATTAAGGTTAGTACACGAAAGCAAATTTCCAGCAGAGATTTAAACAAACAAAAAAAAAATCAACATCTCAGGTTATGTGGTAGAGCCGTACTGATTCACACATTCACTCATGCGTTTATTTAAAAACATTTATGGAGTGCTCCTACATTTTGTGGTAGGTATTTTGGCTATAAATAAGGTTACACAGTGATTCCTGGTAGCTCAGTGTCTTATATATGGTAGATCTACAGGACTGTGCAATCATAGGTAAAATTTGTAATAGGGAACAACAATCATGACAAGAGCCAGAAACCAAAGAAAGAATAAGCCAGGTTTGCTTCAGTCTGATTTTTCAAAACCAGTCAAGTATGTTATAATCAATTCATGAAACAGCAAATACAATGTGTCCAATGTATGCCAGGTAAGAGAAAAGATGTGTGAGCCGGATCTCTTCCCTCGCAGGGGTGGCCTGCAATGGAGTCAAGGAATACAAACTATAGTAAAAAAGCACAGAGGGAGACAGAGGGAATCTTCAATATTAACTAATAATTTCTACAAGGGCTAAAACAACAAAGATCTTCTGATTAAAGGAAATAAAACCAGATGGACCAATTCTCCAACCACTCTGGATAAATGATGTTTTAGAACAGGGTACCACTCAAGACACCATGAAAGAACAGAAATGATGATTCTAAATTCTATGCTACTTGAAACAATACACAGATGCAGACATTATTAGTGCCACATTTTAGAAACAGATCACCAGAGGGCAGACAATAGTCCCAGTTCCACTTTTCCTCTTGGTTCTCAGTACCTGTGTCAAGTGCTGCCCCCTGGAAAATTCTTTAAATGGCAATGGCCTTGGCAGCCACTCCTTACTGCTCCATTACAAGTACCAGATTTTAGCTGAGGGCAAAGGTCAAAATGTTCAAAAGAAACTATTGCTCTTCAATTCCTTCCTCCTTTCTCCCTTCCTTCCCTCCTTTCTTTTCTTTTTTTGGTAAACATTTGGGATTAACATTGGGGAAGTTTTTTTTCCCTCTTTATTTCCACTTACTTTACTGGCTAAGCTACATATGACACAAAGGGGCCCCCAATTACCTGACTGATCTATAATCTGTGGGCAGACAGTACAGTGGGTTATAGAGCAGACTCTGGATCCATATTTCTGGCTATGTGGCCGTAGGCAAATTGTTGAATGGCTCTGTGCCTCGATTTCTTCTGTAAAATGGGGATAATAATAATAAAACCTACCTCAAAAGACTGTTGGGGAATGCACACTATGTATAAGGAACTCAGAACAGTGCCTGGCACGTAACAGGCATTATATACATGTTAGCTCTTACTGTAATTGTGCTTTTCTTATAATGTGGTGACCCCACCTCCTAATTATCCATGATTATGGATAATAAAACTGAAGATTCACTTTCAAATGCTTCCCCAACTATTTCAATTAATACTACTATATAAAAACAGCTAATTTACCATGAAATATTGTAACATAACTGCAAATTGAATCAGAGTAAAAAAAAAATCTACTCCTGAAATGAAACCTGTGGTGAAGAAAACAGTAAGTCTTCCTAAGTATTAACTCAAATTAATTTGAGATATTTGCCATAATCATAAATATTCAGTTCCTTGTTTTCAACCTTTAGCATAATTATCCAAGTTAGTCTGTGTGATAGGCACAAAATAATAATTAAAAAATTCAGATTCCTATTTCCACTTAAAGTCCTGAGGTATCTTGTTTTTGCTTTAACATCTTCAATGATATTTGAATACTTGTGGATGAAATAAGGGGGGAGGCACTGAACTAGAAGTCTCTTCAAACGGGCATTTATTCAAGCCCTCAGACTAATGCATTTTGTCATCGTATTTTCTAATTATAAAATTTCAAATAATATTCTCCTTCCTTTGAAAAGCAGTGACCTCCTCCAAAACTATGTATGCTCAGAATGTTACCAAGAATTTTTCCACCCAGGGAGACTTTTATTATCAATACTTGAAAGTGTAATCTTTTCTCTTGTCATCTATAATCTACTGATCTTTATTTAGTCCAGCCAACAATCCTTCCACTGCCAGTTCGCCTGATTCATCCCTTTCTGGTTATTTTAAATAGTAGCAATGCTTTTGTTCTTAGACTATCATCCATGGAGGTCCTGGCAAAAACACATTATTTTATTCTCACATTAAACTTTCCTCTCAGCACAGCCTCAGTGCAAATGCTCTTTTGCTGATGCACCTCACATATATTCTGCTTTTCAAAATAAACACCTCTCAAATTCCCCAATTTTCCTGGGGAAGTAAATATCTTAATATTTTAAATGGTGTAACTATCTGTCTCATAGCTAGTAATGCGAGAAGATCTAACATAATAATACAAAAAGACATTGAAAGAGTTTAGGAAAGTTATGCCAGACTATAGATAAAATTACATTACAATCTGATATGAAAATTACTGTATACGCTGAAATGTGGGAGATTGTCTGTATGCCAGGTCCTGCTGCGTGAAGTTTCCAGTATGTACCAGGTTTATCCACATCTTGTCACCAAGCTCTCTGATGCAGAGTCACTTGTGTAACCCCAGGAATAACATGGGGTCCCCAATACCTTGCTACAATTTACTTAAAGTGTTCTTTTCTAGATTTGGCTGCCTGGGGTACTGGAGAAGAGGCAGCCATGAGAAGAAAGCCTGGAGCATAAAAACTCACTGACTCAGGTGCCTTCTTCCCTACAATGAACTGGGCGCCTTTGCCTTCAACAATGCAGGGAAGGGTTAACTCAGCAGGCCTGGGCTGCTCAAACCCTACACTTTCCCAAGAAAGGTCTGTCTGTATCCTTAGGTCTGGCCCTTGACCAGCTTCTGGGAGTTGAGCTCTGAACCCTTGGCATATTCTGCCTGACGAGGGTTTTGTATGGTTGAAGCCTGAGGCCATGCGGCACCAGCTGGATCAGATGTTTACACTAACAGTGTGACGTATGGTGCATACCTGTTTTTGTTCTGGGGGCTGGAGTCAGTCACAGAGGCTGGCACTGTCTATGTAACTAACCACCAGTAAAAACACTGGGCCCCAAGGCTTGGGTGAGCTTTGCTGTTCACAACACTTAGTATGTGCTATCTGTCACACACTGCTGCTGGGAGAACTGAGGCACATTTGTGGGACTCCACATAGAGGGGACACTGGGAAGCTTATGTCTGGACTTTCCTGGACTTTGCCCCATGCCTGCTTCCCCTTCACTAACTTTAATCTGTGTACATTGGCTGTAATAAACCATAACTGGGAATATACCAGTTTTTCTGACTCCCATGAGTTCTTCTAGTGAATCATCGAGCCAGAAAGTGGTCTTGGGGACCCTCAAAATGAACACCAATAACCTCATCTGAATTACTGTATTATCTCTGTGCTCACTGTAACTTGGTGACAGTCACTTTAATTAGAGATGCCTCAGACAGCAGGTGTTTAAAAACAGTGAAGGAATGATTAAGAGGTACTGACCCACACCCAGTATCACCAATTCTTTGATTCCATCTCGTAAATACCTCTTAAATCTGTTCCCTTCTAGGACTAGTGGTGACCAAAGGGAAGGGGCTGGGAAGGGTGGGTGGGGAGGGAGTGGGAAGGGAGAAGGGGATTAAGGGGCATTATGATTAGCACACAATGTAGGCGGGTCACGGGGAAGGCAGTACAGCACAGAGAAGACAGGTAGTGACTCTGTAGCATCTTACTACACTGAAGGACAGTGACTGCAATGGGGTATGTGGGGGGGGACTTGATAATATGGGTGAATGTTGTAATCACAATATTGCTCATGTGAAACCCTCATAAGACCGTATATCAATGATACCTTAATAAAAAAGAAAGAAAAAAAATCTGTTCCCTTCTCTCCATTAGCTTAATCTTGGCTACCACCTTTTCTTATCAGACAACTGCAGTGCCTCCTGACTAGCTTCCCTGCTCCATCCACTCCTCAATTTGATCCAGAGAGAGCCTTCACAATATACATCAGTGACCCCTTATCTGCAGGGCATATGTTCTAACACCCCTAGTGGATGCAAAATCATGGATAGTACCAAACCTGATATGCACACACTGAGCTTTTTCCCATATGTACATACCCACAATAAAGTGTAATTTGTAAACTAGGCACAGTAAGAGATTAACAACAGGAATGGCAATGTTGTAATAAATACAACAGTTGCAACAATATACTGTAATAAAAGTTACGTGAATGTAGCCTTGCTTTCTCTTTCGAAATCTCTTACTGTACTGTACTCACCCTTCCTGGGATGATGTGAGCTGATAAAAAGCCTACATGATGAGATAAAGTGAATCATGCAGGCACTGTGACATAGCATTAGGCTACAATCAACCCTGCTGATATGTCAGAAGGAGGAGCATCTGCTTCTGCACCACGGTTGACTGAGGACAACTAAAAGCTTGGAAAGTGAAACCACGGATGGGTGGGGGGAACTACTGTACTTATGCCACTTTCTTATTTAGAACCCTTCAATGCTAACTTATTGCCCTTAGAGTCAAATTCTAAATCCTTCACAGGGCCTCTTGCACCTCTAAGGCTTTAGACACACCCTTGTTCAACAGAACCCATTTTTCCACCTCATCTACTTAATGACCAGCACACATTTTTCATGTATTAGCTTAAACATCACCTCTTTAGTGAAGCAATGCTGATCCCGCACACAGGGTAGGTCTCTTTGACATAGTCTCTTCTGCCCCTTTTCTTTCACTTTGCAGCCGGCAGTGCTCTGAACGGGCCTGCTCATTAGGATATTCACAGTCACTTAGTGTTGTGTTGGTCTTTCACACTAGAGGACAAAATCTAGGCGGGCACAAGCTTTTTCTGCACCACTACAATTTCAGCACTTTAATAGCAGCTCAGGGCTTGGCACATAACAGATGCTCAATAAAGATCTGTTGGTTTGTTTCAGGCTTGGGAGAGTGGGATCTAGAAGACAGAGATGTGCCAAAAGCTTTGGACAAGAGGGAGCCTGAAAAATAACTGGTTTGTTACAACATCTTCTGAAACATTTTTTCAAAAAGCATATATACATACATATATACCATATAAATCACCCGACAGAGACATTAATAGGAAGTATATTTCCATAGGCTGACAGGACTGACCAATAACTGCATGACTAGTAGCTGGAAGAATCCATGCCAAGGCATGTCACCATCACTGAGGACTTGAAAGGAAGAGTATGGCCCATGCTCCGTGAGTCCTGCACAGGGACTCAATGGCACTGATTCAAGAAGTACCCCTATATCCTGGAATGCATGCCCTGCAATACTGGGGTATATGTTTACTTCATTCATAAACCAAGAGCCTGCAGCCAGTGTCGGAGGATGGCTGTTCATTTTGAGACTCTGTCTAGGGCCCTGGCAGGCTAACTGTCACTAGAAATGATTTCTGCCCTTGGGCTGCCACCGATACATTGTCAATGTCTGAGGCGTGGAAGCTTGGTCTGGCCCAGTCACACTCAGTCCGGGCCATGGGTCTCCTCTGATCTAGTCTTTTCTGTGGCTCAGCTCAAGGATGCCCCAATCCAGCCCCAGCCCTGGCCTCTGAGTCCCCTTAGAAACCATCTGATCAATCTTCCTCACCAAGCTATAACCACCCAGACAACATCCCTGGTGGAAGGCTATCAGATTTCTCAAACACCTGCAGATGTAAGTAGTGGCTATCCAGTTTGTGAATATCTCACTTAGAAACATTTCCCTTGTGTGAAACTGAAAAGCATTTTCTATTTGGACTTGGAACATTACTGGACAGCTATTCTAAAAAACAGACACATATGTTCAGACAAACATTACAGCTTTTAAAACATATATTCCCAGAGTGATTCTATTGATGGGATCTGAACTGACTGGCTCTTAAAAGCATTTCCCAGGAAATCATAAAGCAGTAAGCCACCCAAAGCAATGGACATTTGATGAAGAGAAAAAGAATCATAACCCAAAGGGAAGAAATCTTGTGCATGGGGGAAGGGGCGATTTAAGAATGTGTATCTTAGAAAAGTAGGTGTGAGTTGTATTTCTGTGATGTTATGTTTCTGTACAAACAGAGGAGCAGTTCTTTTCATATTTGTAATATTCTATTAAACCACTGAAAGGCTGGTGGAAAAGAGAGGGGCAGAGAAACAGGCAATGTGCTCTGATCTATAACCTGGGATGAATCAGACCACCTGCTCATCTTGATGTGATCCTCACTAACTTCTTCCCCTCTCCATCTTTCCTGACGGCTGTTAGCTATTCCCCTGTCCAGAGAAGCCTCTGGATCTTGAAAGGCCTCCAATACTTTCATATTCATCTTCTGTGTGTTACCTGATCAGTTTTTCAAAAGCTTCCTTTTCTTTCCTCAAAGCAGTGAGATAGCGTTGTTCCTCAGTGGACCCTCCGTATATGAGAAAGTAAACCCTGCAAGTTAAGAGAACTCTTTTAGGCTGCAGAAACATAATTTTTAATCCCCAAAAGTTATGAGTATTTGAAATCAGCAACCTGGAGTGCTCAAACAATACATCTTTGACTAAGAATAAAAGCTTCCATTAATCACATACTTACTAAAATTAAGCTGCCTAAACCCCACCTACTAAAGGTCTCATTACCACATTTTTTTTTCTTTCGTCAAAAGGAGGAACACAGTTTAGGTAAACACTAAAATACCATTAGAGGGATAGAATAATCCTTTCCTCTTAACTGTAAACAAACCAGAAAACACAAAAATCTTAGTGGCTGCTCTTTTTTCAATTTTTTTCTTTATACTTCGGCCAGGCAATCATTCAAAAAGTTGAATAGTAGTTATAAAAAGACCAGTTTATGAAAGCTCATGTTAGTGTAAAATAGACAAATGAAATCTATATGGCCTTTATTTCCAGAAGTAATTTCTCAGTTCTTTTTATTCATGTCTTAACATAACCAAATCACCACACATTGCATGGAAACACATGGTCATGGACAACGTATGGATATCAGGCTCCTCAAGAATAATTTCAAATATTCTTCTCCCTTACAAAAGGCGTTTCTTTCTTGTTTGTGGCTAAGATGCTGAATTAAACAGCTTCTCTGTCTCTTTTCTTTACCTTCCATCAGTTATTTTCCTTTTTTAGCCCTCGATTTTTATTTTAGACTTTATTTTCCTGGATTATATGTCTTGAAGTATGGGTAGAGAAAAGACCACTGGACAGTGAGTCCAGAGACCTCAGTTACCCGCAAAATGTGCTGTGTGACCAAAGGCAGGTCATTCACCATTTCTGGGCCTCAATTTCCCATGGACTAAGGGGTTGAACTCACAGGTCCCTTCTGATTCCGACATTTTGTTTCTAAATATCACATTATTCTGTTCTCAGGCAATAAAGAACTCTGGAGCACACAAGCTATCTACAAAGTTGATCAATAAATAGCAAAGTATGAAAGTTTTACCAGCCTCATCTAATCTCTCGATCCTGCATGGTTTCTGCTCCACCTCCCCCAGTCACCTTTACTCGGAAAGGCTGCATTAGTTAAATTGCTCAGAAGCTTTCTTTTGGCTTTGTTTTTGGTTCAGACTGAGTTCAGGATATTAATTTTGCTGTTTATTTCCTTCAGATAATTGGAGAGCCAGAACACTATATTCTTTGGGAGGCAATGTTTTCTGATCTGGTATTTCTGTAGATTTTTCATCTGATACTTCTTGAAACTCAAGACAACTTGGTACAATACTTCCCCAAATATTTGAGTTTTATATGGCTATAACTTAGAGTCACTTTTAAAATTTACAAGAAAGGCATTTTTAGAAAACTGAAATTCTTTGAGTCATAATTCTATTCATTTTTGGTAGAAGTTAGCATATTATAAATTTCCTAGAGTTGTTCAGATACAGCACCCCGTGAGCCACACAAACACATGAAGAACACGGTAGAGAACAGGAGAGCAAGGTCATGAGAACACCAGAGTCCCCTCCATCTGCTATCCCACTACAACAGCTGACCGCCTTCCTCTGCAAACTTCCCTGATTGATGAGAATGCAAAACAGTTTCACAAACTCAACCAACATGATAACAATGGAATGCTAAAGATAAGAAAACCCATATACCAATAGGTATAGTTTCCGTATTAAAGCCTAAAGAACTGTGAGTTTGAAGCCTTTGAGAAACCTTGCCATATCTGCTATAACTTGCCTCAGAGGTTTCCCAGGCCTGCTTGCCCTGTAAATTTCAAGCTGACGAACGAACGTTAGTTCTGCGTCATACAGAACCACATATCTTGGCTCCACTTCATGGAGAACCCTTGTCAGAGCATAGGGGTCACTACAGCCCAGAAGTGGATGGATTATAGTGAGGGGGTCTTTCAGGATTCCATAAGCGGCATCAGATGACAAGTTTAAATCAAATTCTTCATGCTTGATTTCTTCCAAGGAGCTTTCTGGGCTGCTGCTTAGGTTTCTAGGATATCCTTCCTTGACATTCCCTTCTTCCTCTAGTTCTTCAGGTTTTCCCATCATCTGAGTTAAAGTTAACCTTCGTTTTTTCTTTCTCAGAGGCCTTTCTTTGGCAGGAGCCCTTTTGTTTTGGGGGTCTTTGAGTCGTTTGTTAGATTTCACAACTCTCTTCGAACTGTCCTCCTTTCTAAATTTCACCCACGCTTCCTCAGTGCTGCTGTCCTTCTCAAAGGTCTTCCTGTACAGTTTCAACAGGAAGGCCTCGGCTCCAACAGCGACATACTCCCTCAGCTGGGAACATGTGCGGTCATCACTCGCACAAATAAGTACTTGACCTAAAGTTAGAAAATGATGCTATGTTACTATTACCTCACATGTTCCCCTACTCCCCCTGTGCCCCCTTGTCCCATCTCCCACAAGGAAGACACATCTTACCCCTTGGCGCTGACAAAACAGGACATTTGAAATTTGTTGAAGGAGTCTCAGATGCCTATCCACTGCTGTCACCTCTCTGGCAGGATTAGTTAAAGCTTCTGAGTAAAGTTGAAGCCAGAAGTATTTAGAGCCTTATGAAGCCATGGTATAATGGAGGCTTTAAGAAAGCTCTTCTTAACTGATAATTTTCCAGAGTACTTTATGCACCAAAATAAATTCCAAAAGGATTACCGAGGCAAACATTAACTATTAATCATGAAAAAAAATAAAAAGGTGACTATTCTCCATCTCTCTGGCTGGAGGTGAATTTCTAGGCTTAAAAGCAACAAAAGAAATCTCAAAGAAGATTGATATTTATAGTCTAAGATTAACTCCATTATAATAAAAACTGCATTGAAAAATGCTAAAGACAAAAATAACTTTCTGCAACAACTATGATAAAGGGTAGTATCTTTGATATATATAATGCAAATGCCAACACAAACACAGGATATAGCTTAAATTGGCAAGGGAAACAAAGATAATTCACAAAAGAGGAAACTCATTTGAAAAGATATTAAGCCCACCAAATATCAAAATTTAAGAAAAGATAAGATTTTTCTCTAAATTAATAAAATTGTTATACATATATATTTATATACACATACACATAGATTTCCAGTCACTGTTAGCTAAATGAAAAATAGATAAGCTCTCAAACTTCTAGAAGAAATAAAAATTGACAAAATTTTTCTATAAATCAATGTGGCAATATGTCTCAAGAACTTTATCACTTCACTTATTAATTCTACATTTGGAAATTATATCTACACTATGACTTTAATAATATGAAATAAAAAATGCATAAAAGAAAACCTGGAAGGAATTAACCCAAATGGCTCCCAGACATAATTTCTCCCCTTTTTTTCTTCATGCTTTTCACTTTTCCTACAGTGAGCATATATGACTTTGGGTCATATATCATAGCACCCTAACTTTTGGGATAATAGCAGCAGCATATTTACTAATAAAGGATTGTGTGCTTGCTTTTATTGCTCTGCAGGAGTTCAAAGTCTTAAAAGGTAACTTTTTTTGTTGTTGTTATTGTTATCATTAATCTACAATTACATGAAGAACATTATGTTTACTAGGCTCCCCCCTTCACCAAGTCCCCCCAACAAACCCCATTACAGTCACTGTCCATCAGTGTAGTAAGATGTTGTAGAATCACTACTTGTCTTCTCTGTGTTGCACAGCCCTCCCATGCCCCCCCCACATTATACATGCTAATCATAATACCCCCTTTCTTTTTCCCCACCTTTATCCCTCCCAGATAACTTTTTAAATCTACTTTTATTTTCTATCTGATTTTATTTTTTAAATTTAGTTCACGTTTGGTCTACTGTGCTAATCTACTATTATATTCATGTTGAAAAGAGAAGCCCTAAAACTGGGGAACAGTTGAGACTTTTTTGAAACGATGCTTGCTGAGAACATAGAACAAGCTTATTAGCTCTCTCCTTGGGGAGTCCAGGTTTAAAGCCTAGTGAATATATAAGTGGAGATTAGCAGCATCACTAAATAGAAATCCTCAGAACCCAACCAGTAAAAAAAAAAACCCTGCTTTCATGAATATCCAGTGATTAAACCTGGAGAAAGTCACATCAAATGACCAGGAAGGAGGTTGCTGCTAGGATTTCACTGTTCATTTGGCATTTATTCTGCTACATTTTATAACAAAGTAATAGCTATTTTTAAGGACCAAAGAGACTCATTTACTCAGTTTGGTAAGTGTTACCTCATTACCTCCTTTTTTCCTACCTGGACCACCAAGGGCTTCACTCTCCTTGTTTTCTGCCTCAATTTCTTTCAGTACTTCAGTTAGCGCTTCCCACTTTGGGTTGCTTTCTAGGACGAGTTCCTTTTTTGTTTCTATATAGAAATAAGAGACAGCCTCATTCTATGATAATATTTATCCCAGAAATATTCCAAAGGCTTTCAAAACAACAGATAACGCAAGCATCATTCTCTTAGCCCTTTCCTTTGTGGGGCCTTCATAATGCTAGACAATCTATTTTCCTGAAAATTGTCTAGTTATGATCTAAATGAAAGATGCTTTAAACAAACATTAATACAGGTTTCATAATGCCTCGATAGAAAGTTATATGCATGGTCACTAATACTAGATTATTCTGTGTTAACTGTCAACTGTGACACTATGTATAAGCTGCTATACAGATAAAGGAACCAGGACAGAATAACAGCATTTATTATTTCTATAATCATCATGATTTTCACAACCCTGAACATGCAATAGAAGTAGACAACAAACTTTTATTTCTGTTAGTAAAGTACTCAAACACATCCCTAAAATATTTAACTTTTGAACTAGACCTTTGAACTAAGCAGAAAGTAAGCATTTGCCCTCTCCTATACCTTAAAAAATAATATTTATTATATCTACTAGATGAGTGTTGGAATAAAATCCATATTTGTCTCATTCTAGTATATTTATGTCTTTTAAAAGCCAGGAGGGATGTTAAAACATTCCATTAAGACTTTAAGTGACAGAAGTGGCAATTACTCTAAAGTTAAAAAAAATAAATCTAGTTCTTAAGTAGAAGTAAGAATGCTCTTATTGATACTTGGCCTTTGTTATCCAGAATCCCCAGCAACAGATTCTAAGACTTGTCACGTTAATACTTTTAACATAATTACATACAACATACATTTATCATACAGGCATACATTTTCTGATGGCTAAAGGAGACTTAAAATCACACATTAACTTGTTAAGTACTTCCAACCAATCACTGAAATAAAAGACACATTTAAAGATAAGCCTACGACATACCCTGCCCCTCTTTAAACTCCATTTTTTCAGACATTTTTTCTTTCCTGCTCATTTTGGCATCTGGAACATGATAAACCCTTGCTCGAGCATTTAGAAACATCGAGGTGCTGGAGTCCAGAAATAGCCAACCTAGTATGAAAAGTTTTGAAAAGCTTTCAATTTACGATTCATTTTAAAGAATCTCTGATGGTCACATGACTTACATATATCAAAGTGTGGCCGATGGATACCTGGGGGCCCCCAGGATGTTTTCAGGGGGTCTGTAACCTCAAAACCATTCTTACAATAGTACTAACTCATTATTTGACTTTTTCCCACAGCATTGCCATTTCCAAAGATGGCGCAAAAAAGTGTTAGTGGGTAACACTGCTAGTGCCTAAATACAATCATGGCACTAAAACCAAAGTGTGCTAGCAGTCAATGTATTCTTTAGTTCTAAGTGTTTGCAGTTTATTACTCACGAATGTCCCTGATGAAGCAGTAAAAATTATTAATTGTATTAAATCTTGGCCCCAGGGGCTCATGGACCACACTTTGAAAATCAATGATCTAACCAGTGACAGAAAACAGTGCGGGTAAATGTGGCTGGTAGGAAAACAAGATGGTGGCTAGTTGTATTTGTATGTTTCTCTTCCAATCTCTCCTCTTCAGTCTTTAGCACTCGAGCTAATGGCCCACACTCTCTGGCTGTTTCTTTGGAGAAAATGAATTTTAAGTTCTTAACAACCAAACTTCCAAAACACACCTATTTCTAAGTTGGGGGCTGCCTGTAATATATGCAGTCTTTTCTAGAAATAAAATTGCCTGGAATAGATATGAATATTTATTATTATACAGAACAGACGTTAAGTAGGTGGAAACATTAGCTATCAATAAAACCTACATCCTTAAGCTACGAACATAAAACTTAATTTGAAATCTTAGTATACCATGCAGTTGAATACAGTACTCCCCACACCCGATTCCCCAACAAAACCCAGCACTGTATTCAAGTCAGTTCCTAAATAATATTAGCATTTTTATCTCCCACCTGAATTCTGACCAAAAGCCTTTTCTGTTGCTCTCAGAGATTCCAGAAGTTTAAGAAATGTGATACAATCATACTGAGAAAGATACTGCAGCAAAGTTCGTAGTATCTTCAAATCCTGAACCAAGGATTTAGTCTTGGCTCCAAGCTGGTGCCACAAAGGATCCAGATAATGGCGGATTGTCTAAAATAAGGGTAAAATTTAATATTGCTAAAAATATGTTCTATGTAGCTACTATTAACACTATAGTTTCAATAAACACTATCCCTGTGTACCTAAAAATGGTTAAAATAGTAAATTTTATGTTCACGTATATTTTTGTCACACACATACAAAAAATCCAAAACATTATCTCCCAAGAAGGTGGACAGAAAATTTCAGTTCCTAAGATTCTAATAATATGCTTAATTTTTCAAAAATGAAACAGAGAGTATCTTATCACTAAAATCTTTATGATCAGGTAGTCAATTCATAATTATCTACATTCACTTTATCGGTCAGGCGAGAAAAGACCCGATAAACATCAGCTAATCAATTGTTTGTTTTTATGAAAAGTCAAAGCAGGTAGCTCAGAAACACTCAATTTCTGCCAAGGTGGGCTAAGATCTTATCCTGGATAGATAAAGATGTGGGATCCAGTCAGACAGATGATGAAGCTGAAGGGAAACAATGTGGTATCAAATTAAACAACAATATATCAAATTAAACAACAATGTATCTTAATTTGGTGGCATAAAATATTCGTTAATTTTTTTACCACTGTGCTTCATGGATGGGAAGATATTTGTTAAATTAACAGTGGGCTAAGTTTAAATATTTTTTAAGATCCTACAAAGCTGCCTAAAACACAGAACAGCTTTTGGTATATACTATGTGGGTTATGTGGGTATAAACACACATACACACACACGCACAAACACACATTTCCTGTCCTTCACAAACTTATTCTGTAATTAAAAAAGATAATACAGAACATAATATGGAAGCAGTATCACTACATGGCATCTTATCTAACAAATTTAATACTGAGCAGGAGTAATATTTAGAAGATTTATTGCCCAAAACACAACTCTTGTGAAAATGAAATGATACTATTAATGATTACTCCAGGACAACGGGCAGATACCAAGGCTGTCTTAGATATACTGGGACATATAATATTTGCATGCTTGTTTTATAAAATCATCTAGAAAAATCAAATTTTCTAACAAGATCCAAGTTGTACTTAGATTTGGTTACTAAAATTAATTTTGATGTTTGTTAGCCAGGGGATGATAAACAGAAATTTAGTGCAAAACATACTAGGCTACATTTTGTTTTTCTAGGAATATACAGTCTATTAAAAGAATGTGAAGATGTGGGGCTGTTTTTGGTTTCACTATGCCCTAAGCTTTAAGAGTAGAGGAACAAACCACATGAAATTAGTTTTATGCATCATTATTCCACAGTAAAATAATTTTTGGAGGAATCAGAGAAATGAGGAGTTAAATTTTTTCCTTTTCCAGCAACAAAGAGATCGATTCAGAGTTTAAAAGGCAGGAACTTGTTCTACCAAAATATCTAAATTAAGTTGTCTGGAATTTTTAAAAAGTCAGCATTTTCAGGATCTATATAATTCAATCTGTATTAATATTAATCTATGATGAAAAAAAATCAGAATAAAAATTCCTTGAACTAAAGTCTTACCATTTTCTCAATTCAGAATGTAATTTTAAGACAGAGCAAGTGTCACATTCCTCAGTAATGAAAACTCATCCAAATTATTTTTACTCCAAACAAGAGGTCATAAATTATGAAATCACTTATGTAAAACTCTTCTACCTGTAGATACCCAAATGTCGTTTCAGAGCAAAAAGGTATTTATCTTTTTCTTCATTTTACTTAAAATGAGAGATAATCACTGTATAACTGCAAATTAGAGTTGTGCTGATATGCCTATCCATGTATATTACTATAAATTATTACTTTCCACTAAACCAAAGAAGCTATACTTTAAATCACTTTCAATTTAATTTTAAAATAACAGCAAATTCCTATTAAGAATATGGCAGTACTAAATTAACTTGCATTCTCTACAGTTTTAACAGGTCAAGCTATGCTTAAAAGGGAAAAGAAACAGAATACCTTGTCAAAGGGTTTTCCAATAGCATTTTCTAAAGATAAATCTTCAACTTCAAGTGACGGGTTATGGCACTTCAGTTCCTTCAAACATGCATTTAAGATGTCCAGTATGGCAGTCTGTATAGCAAGCATGGCTGGTGTCATAGAGACATGAATTTCTACGACTTCAGGTTTGTGCTGTTCTAAAAATGAGTTTACTGCTACATGGAACCTAAAAAGACAAATGTTTTTGAAATATTTTCTAGAGTTTCAAGAGCTGCATATTTCTGGTTTAAAACTCCAATGGTTTCTTTGTAAATGCAATTAAGAAACAAAATGGAAAGCCAAATGGCAATGTTTTCAGGAATACTTTGAATCTCAGTGAATGGAAGTATTATTCAAATAAGGCAGGGGTCTGCAGACGATGATCTGGGTCCAACCCAGCACCTGTTTTTAGCATCTTAGGAGAACACAGCTGCCCTCATTGTTTATGTATTGTCTATGGCTGCTTTCACACTCTAACAGCAGACTTGAGTAATTGTGACAGACGGCAGAGACTGCAAAGCCCAAAATATTTACTATTTGTCTTTTTATGGGAAAAGTTCATTGATCCCTGAAAAAAGGTATCATCAAGAAAGAAAAAAGATCACAATCACCCTTAGATAAGATACAGTGTAACCAAAACACACATTAGCATAGGCGGCAAAATGTTCAAAAGTTGAAACCTATGGCTTTTTTCCTAGAAAAGTTATATAAAACTTCTTCAAGATCTTTGTTTTATTGCATTGTTTTCCAAGTGGAAGTGGAAGTCTTAGCCCATAAATCTGTAGTTCACTGGCCACTGTTTTGTATGTGTCTCTCGAGCCCTGTACAAGAAGGAATAAAGTGGCTGCCCTTGGAGATATTTGATGGGATACCAGAAAAAGACTATCAAATCTCTCTCTCCTTTAAAAGAATCACAAATGTGGCACCCACACACTTACCTTTGGAGTGTACACCAAAGGTAAGTGTGGCACCCATACACTTGTTATGAGCCTGACTACCACATGCCAAGCACAATCACAGTACATTTTTACATTACGTTCACTGAAGTGCAAAACTGAATTATAGCAGGTGCACTCAAAGATGTCTGCCACATAATGCTGTTTACCTGGGCCACAGATACAACTTCCTTACGAAGAGATTTCTCATCACTCTTTCCACGTGACAAAAACCAGTGTCAAAGGCAACAGCATTGTCTGTGAAAGCTTTAATGAAGCCACATTTGTTTTTCTGGCGGAACAGGCGCAAGATGAATGCTTCTTGACAGGACTCGATGATTCTGTGAGCTCTGTACACCAAGATGCCTGACAGAGGAAGTTATCATTTATTTCACAGAACAGACATGGAATTTTCCCACTCGTGTTCATTCACTTACTCATCCCATTTTTCTTCAGCACCTGCATAAGCTCGGGCAGGCACTGTTCTAGGCTGGGGACACAGCCATGGACAAAACAGATGCAAACCCCTGTCCTTATGGCACTTACGATAAGCAATATAAAGAAGTATATACAGTATTTGGTAGTATAAAGGTGATAAGTGCTAAGTAGAAAAATTAACCAGAGGAAAAGAGGGAGTATGTGTGAGTATGATGGTGGGCTGCAACTTTAGACAGGGGGGCCTCACATCTGAGTAGAGGCTTAGGTGAAGTCGAGGACGTGACCTGTGGGCCAAGAGGGCTCCAGGCTGAGGAAACAACAAAGAGCAAAGGCCCTGGGGTGGTGAGTGTCTGGCATGGTGGAGGAGAGTTTCTGAAATCAAAGTGGGTCACTGATTTTCCTTTTATATCTGAATCAGCTGTGAATTACACAAAAGAGCTGCATTTCAGAAGTCCGGGCAACATCTGTGTTGCCTACTAGAATAATTCAGTTATCAGAAGCAGAGTATATTCGATTGAGAGATAAATTAGTCTACTGAAAATACAAACCTTTAATGATATATTATATTTAATTAATCTGGTTTTTTTGGAGATGGTATGATAGTGACACCTTTGAATCACAAGAACAAACACCGTTATGCATGTTTCCTTAGTTATAAAATGAAAGCCCTTGACCAGATTATCGATCTACCTATCATCTATCTATAAAATGTCTATATAATATATATGTATGTGCCATTTTGGTACAGTGTGATTAGTGATAAATTAGGGAGAGACATGTGATGATATATACAAGTGCATAAAAATCATTTATGGATCAGAAGTGCAATTATTTATGACGATTCTGTCTTCTGGACTTAAATCAAGCCAGTTACCTTTTACGTGTGTGTATAAATGTGCTCATGTGTTTTTGTTCCAGTTCTCCTCATTCCTATAGGGTTTGGAAAATGACACTAATAGTAATTTATGATCCCTTCTACTAGTTCAATAAACCCAATGCAGATTCTATATTTTGGTGTTTAAAGTCTGGATTGAGAGGATGGAGTTAACATTTATTCTATCTAAACAAACTGGTTTCCAAATACAGTAAAAATTAAGAGTGTTACTTAGGAATTTATAGATAAAGGATTTTGAATTACCGATGTATATAGCTAATTTACTACTCAGAAAACATTCTCTACCCAGTAAGTGGGCTTTTCCAAGTATTGTACTGGGCCACATTTGCTGGCCTGCATTGAAATATTACGTGAAGTTAAAAATAATAAAAATGGACTTTTAAAGAAAAGGAGACCCTTAATTTAAGGAAATGTGCTCTAAAAGGTTGTCATTCTTTCAGAACCCAGAAGGAGGAAGAAGAGAATATTATATCCCAGGCACTGGGTTTGAGTACTTTTACAGTTTTTTATTTTATTTAACCCTCACAATGATTCTATAGGGTAGGTATTATTATGTGACCATGGAAGGACAACTTGATCAAACAACTTGATCAAGATCATTCAGCAAGTAATGGGAAACCAGAGGTTCCAAATCATGTGCATCTGACAAGCCAGGACCTGCCCTTTCAAATATAAAAATGAAGATACCACAAGCAGGTTATATTTCTGGAGGCAAGTCAAGAGTCCCACAAAAGCATACTTAAATTTTTATGCACCGATCACAGCTCCTATTTCATATTATAATTACTTCTTTCCATCTATCTGCTCCACTAAACTGCTTGGGGACAAGAGCATTCTAACAAGCAGAAATCACACAAATGTTTATTATGTGCCATGCATGATGCTAAGAATCTGAAATGCATTATCTCATCTCACCATCACAACAACCTCAGAAGGGAGGTACTATTACTGTTGTCAATTGATAGATGAGTAAACTGAGTCACATGGAAATTAAGAAACTTGCCCAGGGTCACACATTTAGTTCGCCGTGAAGGTGAGCTCAAACTCAGGGGCAGCCCTAAGAGTTCAACCACACTGTGCAATTTATCTTTGTCTTCAGCACCTACCACATTCCTGCCAAACATGGGACACATGGAACTACATGTTTGTTGAATGAATGCAAAGCTGAATTATGGCACAGTGGGCACAAATCTAACGTGATTTACTTTTTTTAAGTGTCCTATGGAAAGTGTGTTCTGAGTTCTGTTTGGAGCTGTAAGGAGCTGTTCTAGAAGGGAAAGCATTGTCCTGTCCCCATTCTTTTCAAAGTACAATCTGGGTAAATACTTACACAGTTCTCTCACACTGTTTAGGAGATGTGGTTGACAGGTGCCCCTAGGGTGGGGTGGGGTGGTGATAATGGGTAGTAACAGGGGCAAGTTATGGCTGGGGACATACAGCACTTCCCAAATGATGCATGCTTTAGGGACTGCTCTTTGGTCTGTAAAAGCTGAGGTGAAAGCACAAATGGGCTCCTGGGATGTGATCCCAGGGGGTGGAGAATTTGAAGGAATTCGTTTTTGGCATTTATTTGCATTCTATTCATCTGAGCAGCAGTGGCAGCTCCAGCTTCATTACTGGTTGGAACTAATCAGAAATGGGAATGGAATCTGGCATTTTTAATCAGGAACTACCCATAAGCTACGGACATTGCTTTGACAAACTGCTTTCTGCCTCATTAGGTTGAACTGTTCCTGTAAATCTGAGTAATACTGACATCTAGTGGTAGTCTCAACACTTTTTTTTCATTATACCAATTTAAAAACAGCTTATAAGAAAGCAGCAAACAGCAAAAGAATTTACGACATATTAAGATTTCTAGTTACAAAAAGACAATACTTTTTTTGCTATTATTTATGAATTGTATATTATGTATCAGGCACCATTCTAAGCAATTGACTTATTTTATCTCTCTTAGTCCTCATGATAACTCTAAGGAGCAACTCAATCTCTCAATTTAAGAAATGAGAAAAACGGAGGCTCACGCAATTAGGTAACTTGCCTGTCAGCAGTAGCATTACCAGTCAGAGCCAGGTAAGTCTGACCACATGCTTGTGCCATAGTTTGTAACAATTATTGATGTTATGAAAGTATAATGAAACTTTTCCTTCATCAGTTTACTATGAACCGTATAAAGCATTCATTCATACATTTGCTTATTAACTATTTCTTCAGGGTCATCTAAGTCTCGGGCAGGAGGATAGATACAGTGGGAAGTATGATTAAGAATTTCATTTTCTCTCTGCCCTCCAGAGGTTCACCAAAGATCCCAGGATAGCCATGAATCATTCATCCAACAGATATGTGTGTAGTACCTGCTATGGACCAGCTACTTTGTCCGGGATGAGTAAATTGTTCCTTGTACTTACGAGGCTTATTATCTCATAAGTGAGATGAACAAATAAACAGCAAATACACTGTAGTGTTTTGAAGCGCTATCACTAGGGAGAAGCACAAGGTAACTTGAGGTCACAGAAGCAAGACCCCTACATTAATTTTAGTTAAATCATTAAAGGTTTCTGAAAGGACAAATAATAATGAAAAATAATTCACGTTCTATGTGAATTCTAGCTAAGATTAAACCATTCTTCTCAAAATAACTAGGCAACTATGTGGTTTAATTTCAAATGAAGGGAAAAAACAGTCTTTAAAGAGGAAAACCAAATATTTTAGGAAATATACAAAGAATATTTAATAAACGCTTCAAGTCTGATCAGGTTCGAAAAGCAAAGGCCAGCCAACTACTAAGTGTTTACTGGATATGAGCTGAGAAAACAAATAAAAGTCAGTCTCACATTAAGTTACTTATTCAGGCCACAAATATTTATTGAGCATCTAAAATGTGTCTGGTATTGTATTAATGCCTTGGACGCAAACGGTTGAGCAAAAACGCCTAGTGCTACCCACAAGAAGATTCTAGTTTAGAGTAGCAGAGGGGACAGACACCCCAAAAGTGCAGATTTATATATAAATAATAAGGTTTCTTACCAGTAATTAAATCTGAAGGAATTCTATCAGTCAAGAAATCAACCACAAGTATTCGACTGGTTGCAAATATCACACCGCCTTGTGTGTAAACCTCATAGCGACTGTTACTTGGGATTTCATTTGTTACACGGCGCGGAAGGTGTTCAACTCCTTCTATCTTCAGCTGATTGATAAAATATTCCTAAATCAAATCAAATTTGATTAGTCAGCTGTTTAAAACAGGGCAGCTTTTATTAGGGGGCATTATTTGCATTTAAAATGATAGGCTGCCCTTTCTCAGAGATAACAAACTTAATAATAAATTCACAAGTTAAGTTCCTCTTTCATGGTGATCAACCAACCACTCTACATTTAACTAGCGTTTTGTTTTTGGGTTTGCACTAAGGACATCATTGCCCTTGAGATTTTACTAGCATTTTAACAACAAAAAAGACTTTTTTAAAACCCTGGGTTAAAAGACTTCTGCTACCTAGAAAATACTTCCCACCTAAGCCAGGTTTTGCAGGCAAGATAGTACTGTGTGAGAAGTTAATAAGGAATCCTTTTCCCAGGCAGGGTTTGGTCTATTAGTTCTCTGTCTCCAACCACCCTAGAGGGGATTTCATAACGCTAGTATATCCCCTTTCCGTCCTTCTCAGCGGCTCCATCCTCCTTACCCCCAGGTATCCCACCCCAATATCATCAGCTTCCAGCTCCCTTCAATTCTGACCCCGTGTCCCTCTTCCCACAGCCCGGGTGACCCCCTCAGTCCCTCTTCTTACCTGGAGGGCTCGCCCCAGCCTCTGCGGCTCCTTTCACACGTCCCCATTACCCCTCAGAGGTTCCTCCATCCCCATCACAGTTCCGTTTCACAGACCCTATCCCTCTGACCCCAGCAAGCCCTGAATATCCGACTCTGGGATTCCCTCGTTATTCCTACCCACACCCACCTCCAGACAACCCCCATCCCTTTCAGGGACCTCCCATTCTCTCGGTTCTCCTCCTCAAATGACTCCCCTGACCCTCCCAGGCCTCCTCCGCCCCTCTCAGCGTCAGGGACCTGCATCCTCCTCGGGACCCTCCTACCCCATCTGTGTCCTCGCGCCCTGTCAGGGACCCTCATCTGCCTCAGGGACCCCCCATTCAACGCCCTCCCGCCCGCGTCAGGCCCGGCCTCGCCCTCAGAGGCCTCGCGTCCGCTCAGGAGGCCCCGACGCAGCCGGGGTCCCCTGATCGCCGCGTCGGCCGCCGCACCTCCTCGGCTGGCTGCGTGTTGAGCACCAGCACCAGGCATGCCGGGTGGCAGTGCAGCCGGAGGAAGTGGTAGAGGAGTCGGTCCGCGCCGAGCCCGCGAGCGCACACGACCAGCCCGTCCGTGTCGAGCAGCTCCAGCACTAGCTGCCGCTCATACTCCAGCAGTGGTGCCATGGCCGTTGGGCTAGCCGGTAGGCCCGGCTCCATTGGCGCCCTTCCGGGGCCGCGGCCGAGTTTAGCCGAAGAGAGCCGAGCCCGAGGACGAGATGGAAGGACAACTTGATCAAACAACTTGATCAAGATCATTCAGCAAGTAATGGGAAACCAGAGGTTCCAAATCATGTGCATCTGACAAGCCAGGACCTGCCCTTTCAAATATAAAAATGAAGATACCACAAGCAGGTTATATTTCTGGAGGCAAGTCAAGAGTCCCACAAAAGCATACTTAAATTTTTATGCACCGATCACAGCTCCTATTTCATATTATAATTACTTCTTTCCATCTATCTGCTCCACTAAACTGCTTGGGGACAAGAGCATTCTAACAAGCAGAAATCACACAAATGTTTATTATGTGCCATGCATGATGCTAAGAATCTGATATGCATTATCTCATCTCACCATCACAACAACCTCAGAAGGGAGGTACTATTACTGTTGTCAATTGATAGATGAGTAAACTGAGTCACATGGAAATTAAGAAACTTGCCCAGGGTCACACATTTAGTTCGCCGTGAAGGTGAGCTCAAACTCAGGGGCAGCCCTAAGAGTTCAACCACACTGTGCAATTTATCTTTGTCTTCAGCACCTACCACATTCCTGCCAAACATGGGACACATGGAACTACATGTTTGTTGAATGAATGCAAAGCTGAATTATGGCACAGTGGGCACAAATCTAACGTGATTTACTTTTTTTAAGTGTCCTATGGAAAGTGTGTTCTGAGTTCTGTTTGGAGCTGTAAGGAGCTGTTCTAGAAGGGAAAGCATTGTCCTGTCCCCATTCTTTTCAAAGTACAATCTGGGTAAATACTTACACAGTTCTCTCACACTGTTTAGGAGATGTGGTTGACAGGTGCCCCTAGGGTGGGGTGGGGTGGTGATAATGGGTAGTAACAGGGGCAAGTTATGGCTGGGGACATACAGCACTTCCCAAATGATGCATGCTTTAGGGACTGCTCTTTGGTCTGTAAAAGCTGAGGTGAAAGCACAAATGGGCTCCTGGGATGTGATCCCAGGGGGTGGAGAATTTGAAGGAATTCGTTTTTGGCATTTATTTGCATTCTATTCATCTGAGCAGCAGTGGCAGCTCCAGCTTCATTACTGGTTGGAACTAATCAGAAATGGGAATGGAATCTGGCATTTTTAATCAGGAACTACCCATAAGCTACGGACATTGCTTTGACAAACTGCTTTCTGCCTCATTAGGTTGAACTGTTCCTGTAAATCTGAGTAATACTGACATCTAGTGGTAGTCTCAACACTTTTTTTTCATTATACCAATTTAAAAACAGCTTATAAGAAAGCAGCAAACAGCAAAAGAATTTACGACATATTAAGATTTCTAGTTACAAAAAGACAATACTTTTTTTGCTATTATTTATGAATTGTATATTATGTATCAGGCACCATTCTAAGCAATTGACTTATTTTATCTCTCTTAGTCCTCATGATAACTCTAAGGAGCAACTCAATCTCTCAATTTAAGAAATGAGAAAAACGGAGGCTCACGCAATTAGGTAACTTGCCTGTCAGCAGTAGCATTACCAGTCAGAGCCAGGTAAGTCTGACCACATGCTTGTGCCATAGTTTGTAACAATTATTGATGTTATGAAAGTATAATGAAACTTTTCCTTCATCAGTTTACTATGAACCGTATAAAGCATTCATTCATACATTTGCTTATTAACTATTTCTTCAGGGTCATCTAAGTCTCGGGCAGGAGGATAGATACAGTGGGAAGTATGATTAAGAATTTCATTTTCTCTCTGCCCTCCAGAGGTTCACCAAAGATCCCAGGATAGCCATGAATCATTCATCCAACAGATATGTGTGTAGTACCTGCTATGGACCAGCTACTTTGTCCGGGATGAGTAAATTGTTCCTTGTACTTACGAGGCTTATTATCTCATAAGTGAGATGAACAAATAAACAGCAAATACACTGTAGTGTTTTGAAGCGCTATCACTAGGGAGAAGCACAAGGTAACTTGAGGTCACAGAAGCAAGACCCCTACATTAATTTTAGTTAAATCATTAAAGGTTTCTGAAAGGACAAATAATAATGAAAAATAATTCACGTTCTATGTGAATTCTAGCTAAGATTAAACCATTCTTCTCAAAATAACTAGGCAACTATGTGGTTTAATTTCAAATGAAGGGAAAAAACAGTCTTTAAAGAGGAAAACCAAATATTTTAGGAAATATACAAAGAATATTTAATAAACGCTTCAAGTCTGATCAGGTTCGAAAAGCAAAGGCCAGCCAACTACTAAGTGTTTACTGGATATGAGCTGAGAAAACAAATAAAAGTCAATCTCACATTTAGTTACTTATTCAGGCCACAAATATTTATTGAGCATCTAAAATGTGTCTGGTATTGTATTAATGCCTTGGACGCAAACGGTTGAGCAAAAACGCCTAGTGCTACCCACAAGAAGATTCTAGTTTAGAGTAGCAGAGGGGACAGACACCCCAAAAGTGCAGATTTATATATAAATAATAAGGTTTCTTACCAGTAATTAAATCTGAAGGAATTCTGTCAGTCAAGAAATCAACCACAAGTATTCGACTGGTTGCAAATATCACACCGCCTTGTGTGTAAACCTCATAGCGACTGTTACTTGGGATTTCATTTGTTACACGGCGCGGAAGGTGTTCAACTCCTTCTATCTTCAGCTGATTGATAAAATATTCCTAAATCAAATCAAATTTGATTAGTCAGCTGTTTAAAACAGGGCAGCTTTTATTAGGGGGCATTATTTGCATTTAAAATGATAGGCTGCCCTTTCTCAGAGATAACAAACTTAATAATAAATTCACAAGTTAAGTTCCTCTTTCATGGTGATCAACCAACCACTCTACATTTAACTAGCGTTTTGTTTTTGGGTTTGCACTAAGGACATCATTGCCCTTGAGATTTTACTAGCATTTTAACAACAAAAAAGACTTTTTTAAAACCCTGGGTTAAAAGACTTCTGCTACCTAGAAAATACTTCCCACCTAAGCCAGGTTTTGCAGGCAAGATAGTACTGTGTGAGAAGTTAATAAGGAATCCTTTTCCCAGGCAGGGTTTGGTCTATTAGTTCTCTGTCTCCAACCACCCTAGAGGGGATTTCATAATGCCAGTGTATCCCCTTTCCGTCCTCAGCGGCTCCATCCTCCTTACCCCCAGGTATCCCACCCCAATATCTTCAGCTTCCAGCTCCCTTCAATTCTGACCCCGTGTCCCTCTTCCCACAGCCCGGGTGACCCCCTCAGTCCCTCTTCTTACCTGGAGGGCTCGCCCCAGCCTCTGCGGCTCCTTTCACACGTCCCCATTACCCCTCAGAGGTTCCTCCATCCCCATCACAGTTCCGTTTCACAGACCCTATCCCTCTGACCCCAGCAAGCCCTGAATATCCGACTCTGGGATTCTCTCGTTATTCCTACCCACACCCACCTCCAGACAACCCCCATCCCTTTCAGGGACCTCCCATTCTCTCGGTTCTCCTCCTCAAATGACTCCCCTGACCCTCCCAGGCCTCCTCCGCCCCTCTCAGCGTCAGGGACCTGCATCCTCCTCGGGACCCTCCTACCCCATCTGTGTCCTCGCGCCCTGTCAGGGACCCTCATCTGCCTCAGGGACCCCCCATTCAACGCCCTCCCGCCCGCGTCAGGCCCGGCCTCGCCCTCAGAGGCCTCGCGTCCGCTCAGGAGGCCCCGACGCAGCCGGGGTCCCCTGATCGCCGCGTCGGCCGCCGCACCTCCTCGGCTGGCTGCGTGTTGAGCACCAGCACCAGGCATGCCGGGTGGCAGTGCAGCCGGAGGAAGTGGTAGAGGAGTCGGTCCGCGCCGAGCCCGCGAGCGCACACGACCAGCCCGTCCGTGTCGAGCAGCTCCAGCACTAGCTGCCGCTCATACTCCAGCAGTGGTGCCATGGCCGTTGGGCTAGCCGGTAGGCCCGGCTCCATTGGCGCCCTTCCGGGGCCGCGGCCGAGTTTAGCCGAAGAGAGCCGAGCCCGAGGACGAGAGCCGGCTCGAGGAAGCCGAGACGAGAATCGGTCGAAGGAAGCCGAAGAGAGCCGAGAAGTGGCCGAGCTCAGCCGAAGAGAGCCGAGCCTGAGACAAGCGTCAGCCGAGCCCGAGAGGACTGGGGCTAGCCGGGCACAGCGGAAGAGCAGAGGCCGAGAGGAACCAATGCTTCGAGTCCCTGGGAGGTGCTGGCGCCTCAGACAGGTGTCCCCTCCCGGCCTCAGGCTTCGCCCCGAGCCTTTAGAGATCCCACCTTACCTGGTGGCTTGGGGCTGAGATTCGGGCCGCCTAGTCCTAGACCTAAAACGCAAGCTGCCAAAATGCAAGGAGAGGAGAATTAAATCCAAGGAGCTTAATCCTACGAACTTGAGAACGGAAAAGCTAATTGTCAATCTTCCAAGTGAGCCTAGAATTAGTAGTACCTGTAGAATGGGGTGATATTTAATAAGCAAAGTAGTTTAGTACTTTCAGTCTCTTGTTTCTCTCAAGGTCTGGAATACAGTACACTATTTTAAAAAGTCGCCACTAGGTGTCGCCGCAGCAGCCGCATTCCCTTTTCCCCTGGTCCGCACCACTGAGAAACGCTTGTCAAACTAACACCCAATCTTCATTGTTAGAACGTAGGAAATAAAAATAAGTTAAAATAAAAATCTCTTGTTATTCCATTACACAGAAATAACCACTGTAACATCATGAAATCTGTACTTTTAGTCTTTTTTCCCCATGTACACACACTCTCACGGCACAGAGTTCTTATGTTAGGAGATAATAAATAACCTTGACTTAAGTCCTGAGTTTGTCACTAACATTTGACAAAACTCTAGACAGGGTATATAATATTATTATACAAAATCCTTTTCTATGGCTGATGACATTTCTGTACTGAGTTTGTATCGTACTTGTTTACCTAACCCTTTGCTAAGACATCTATTTTGTTTCCATCCCCCACTCCAAGTATTATAAATGATACTTCACTGGATATCTTTGTACATAGACTCAACCATGTCCCTAAGACAC